AAAAGGTCTCTGGTGTTCCCTTCGCTAAAAAAAAAAAAAAAACTTTGAGCGCTCCTGCAGCAGATTAGTACACAGCGACTTCTAATTGATGAAACAGGGCAGGGGCCCATCAATGAAGTGATGTTATCCCTGCTGACGCTTTGAACAACACAACAGAAGGATTAGTAACGCTGATAGCTGCAAGAAGAAAGAGATGAGAGTTTAACTTCCTCCTCAAACCCCCCCCCCCCCCCCCCCCCCCCCCAGAAAAACACTGTTAGCGGAAGTACGTTTTCAGGCATTTTCAACCTAAAAATAGGTTATCAATAAACTTCATGCATAAATGTTAATCTAATTTCAATATAATACAAAATTATTTTTTTAAATACATAGGTTACACCCAAAGACAAGCTCTCATTTAGAAAAAAAGAAAACCAATCATCAATTGATAAAAAAATTAAGAAATATATTCCAAAGTTTTACAATTGTATTTCCCAAAAAACTGTAATAGTTAAATGAATATGAATAATTATAGGACTAAAATTTGGTAATAAATAGGACTGTATAGAATTATAGGACTAAAATTTGGTAATAAATTGTATGACTTCTCCTCACTAAAGTCAAAGTTTGGGTTTGGATTGTTACACCAGATTCATTTTTAAAATTATATAATTTTATTAAAGTTTACACTAAAGGATATTTTTAGAAATACGTTTCTTCAAGTGAGAGCTTTAATCTGCAGGCTATAATCCTATCATATTTTTAATCGCCCACAGGCAATAACATAGCCTACAGAGTCAAAAGAAATGGGGGTGGGGTTGTGGGTTTTGGCGGCCCATCAGGACATTTTCTACACAGACTCTGCAAACGTTAAGCATCTATCCAGAGGGGTCTTTAAATCCCTGTTTTGTGATTTTTAAGGGCAATTTTATTTGAAGAACCTTCGGTCCCGGGCCTTTGATAATTTCTCACCCTGGTGTATACATGCACTTATCCAATTCATCTGATGGGAACTAAAGAGTCCCATATGGAAACAGGACCAACAATTACAGTAATTGACTCAAGACACCTGCTGCTGCTGGTGCGTCCTGGTTGACACGTGGTGACGTTGAGTGCGTAATAATCAGCCATCAGGACGCCGCTGAGGCCCAGGCTGTGACACTCCGACTTGAGAGCCGGTGCTTGATTTGTTTCCCGTAAGCCACTTTGAAGTGGTTGTTTTTTTATTTTGTTCTCCAAACCTGGAGTAAGAAACCGCGACTAAAGTTCCCACTTCAGCGCTTGTGGTCGCAGGCTGTAATTAAAGGGTGATTAAGAGGCTGGAGCTCAGTGAATGGAAGTCTAAAGAGTCTAAAGACCCCCCCGCTGCTCCGCTGTTGGACCCAGCATGGATGACTTAAGTGATTCAGGCTAATCAGCGGTCAGAATTAAAACAGTCACAGTTGTCAAGGAGAGGAAGAAAGAGGAGGAGGGGAGAAAGTGAGGGAAAGGAGAGGAGAAAGAACAGAAGGTCGAGCCAAAAAAAAGATGGAGGGAGGACGGACACGTTATTGTTGGAGAGAAGTACAGAGCAGCTCGGCAGAAGGCGTTTTATTCTGCATAAATTAAAAATGCTCACACACACACTGGCGGGTATTAAAGGAACAGTTTGTCGGACAATTAGGTGATATGGAGACTCATTAGCATGGAACGTGACGGCCAATTACACGTCTGATGTTGGCGTCCTTGCAACAATCCAAAGATCCAAGTCACTGTTTACATGATAATTCAGGCTCTTTTAAGTGTCCTAAAATGCTGACTGTGCTGTGAGCGCCTCCTGTTGGTGCTAGAAGGCCTGATACATTAAGGCTCTTTCTAAAAAAAACATGGCTGCCAACAAGATTAAAGGAATCATGGCTTAATGAGTAGAACAGACTTCATCAGATTCTGCTCAAATTACCTGAAGAACTTTGTTATTGTTTATCAAACAGCCTTTTCCCACTGATTAGAAGGGAATTTAAATCAGCGTTTTTGCTCACAGCTACACCAGAAGCTATGCCTTAGCTCCCGCCACTTTTTCAAAGTCAGGTTTAATTGCCCTCCACACGACATTTTACTGTGTGGGGATTGAAAAAAAAAATGCAGTTGGTGAAAACACTTGTCAGTGGAAGGCTTTACTATTTGGCTGGTGTGGAAGCTGAACTTCGACATGATGATTGTTGCGACTTCCCAGTTATAAATATAAATTTTGCTTTTATAAAAAAGCGTAGAATTTATAATTAAAAAAATATTCTTATTATGCCCCATTTAAAAAAAACGGCAATTTATCTCTTATGGGTTTGAAGAGTCACTATCACAGAATGTGCAAGAATCACGATCTCCGCACATCAACCCTTGACTAAGATGACCAAACCAGACCACCACAGTAAATAGAACAACTAGAGAAGTGGTCGGAGGGTCAAACTGAGTCAAATCCCAGTCTTTGTCCCACAGAATATATCAGTTGCTCCCACTCCCACTCCTGAGTGTGTGATAAAAACAAAAAGATAGCATCCTGCGAATAACACACAACAATGCTGTGAAAAACAATGGCCGTGTTGTTTAACAGCACGTACATTTGGGCTCCAAGGCAGAAAAAATATGTCATGGCAACATGTTTGGCCTCCAAAGTGGAAACAGAGGCGATGCTCGTGCAGAG